ATTGGTTAGCTAAGACTTACTTAGTTTCCGAAATTAATCAAACCAAGAATGCTACAATCGTTGCTTTATTTTTCCTTATAAATAGTACTTTATTTTAGTACCCCACACGCCTCATACATACCCAGGACTTCATCGCAAAATATTCTGGCGCAGTTTGTTAGCTAAAAGGTACAGCAATAAGAAAAAGGCTGGACATACTTCGACAACTTGGAAGCAATTTTACTACAAAACAACTACTTAAAAATAAAACCTCGCTTGACTTGTAGACAATTACAAAAATTTCATTAAGGCAATATATGATTCTAAGGTATAACCCATCTATGCGCGATACACATATATGATAGATTTATTCTACGAAATATACTCAGAAGTTTTAGTTGCATATATGTGTTATTAAATAGGTCTTCATTATCCTTATTATCTCATTATCATTAATGATATACATGTTTTGAAGTGCCTTAAATAATAAGTTATTTTGGGGGGATACCACTGAAAAAAGGCGATTTTTTTCGGAAATTTACGGGAATTAGCCTAAATAGAGTAGGTACCCCTGAATGGAAGTCTTATTTGGGTTATCTTATTCCTTTTTGTACATAGTATTAGCTTTATTTTATCGCCACTATATGCCACTACTTATACGACACCATTACGTTTACGTTTTGGCTTTCCTAATTAGAAGACGCATTCCGCTACATAGAACACTCGGAGGTTTTTGTTTTGGTCTAAATTGTCGATCTGTTAAGTTTCCCACCACTTCAGCTTATCTCAGTTTATGAAGATAATCCTAGACCTGTCGACCAGGACACTTGTTTAGTCCCTATAAATACAATTTCTTGGGTTCTGGCGTTGCGTTATTTTGAAGTATTTTCTGATATTACTTATAAGCAATGCAGTTTTGTGGCACAATCCCTAGAGCTGAATGATTGATGATGACGAAACGCTCAAGTTTTGATTTTCTTGATCATAAAAGAACCAATTTTTCTTGACGGTGACTTCACTTGGACAAATGTTTGACGCTTTTAACTTGGTCTTGAATGCTTGCCTTACCACCATTAGCATTTCCATATATCCTACTATGCGCTTCATGATCATTTTCGCCATTTTGTATATGCATAACCTAAAGATTATTTTGGGTAGGCTATCGAAGTGAAGCCATTCTAAAAGACTTACCCAAATTACGCTAAATTTACGCTAATGCGCCTAAGTAATGTTTATATTGTTTAGAATTACAAATAGGATTCAATTCGCATTTTAAGTCTCAATAAAAGATATTTGATCTGATCCTTAAATATTTAAATTCCTTAAAGAAGTTTTATTTTTATGAACCAAAAGCAGCTTAGAAAGAACTTCTTTAAAAGGCCTTCAGAAGTACGTCCTATAAGAGCACTTCTGGAAGCCCTTCTTTGAGTAGCGAAAGCAGAAACTCTTCAATTTGTGCCACGCCGCACAAAAAAGGAAGAGAAAGGAAGGAGAAAGGAATGACTTTCAGAAAGGCCTTTTAGAAAAGATTTTAACTCCTGAAATTCTCTACTGCGTAGTATGTGTGACCTCTCAGTCGTGTACATACCTGTTCAGGAACTTGCACTTTTTTGGCATTTGCCTGAAGATACAAAATTAGATTCGAACCAAATAAACTAAACAGCTGGAAGATACACTCACCAGATATAGTTCAACATGTTAGAAAAAAAATTGTATTATCGATTTTCGACTACTAACGACAGAAGGCTTAACCTTTTTTTCAAAGAAAATCTGTGCGTTTGTGTGTCAGTGACTTGTGGTTTAGCACTGGGTAGATGCAGAAAATTAATTTACTCCGTGGTAAAGTGGAAACACTTTGTGATTTAACAATTTTGCGCTTTAGCTCGCCCTTTCCCTTTGTCGTTACTATTTTTCGTTTTTGCGCGTTTCGTTAGCGCACATATGTACGCTTACCAAAACATGCTTCCCTGCAGGGAATTTAATTAATTTAAAGGTAATTTATAAACTACTTTATTTTCATACTGCATACTCGAAAAAAATCTAAAAAAGCGAATTAAAAAGTTGAAAATTTTCATGAAAATTTGCTGAATTTTCGCGAGATTTACACAAAGTTAAGGAATTATATTTTTGTTTTTTGTTGTAGAATGAACCATATTTTTATACGAAATTAGGGGAAAAATATTATAATGAAAATTGTTGCATATATTGTGAAAAATTTGCTGTGCCAATACTTTTCTCCGGCAGTGTATTTTCAACTACTTTAAAATGAATTTGGCTTCAACAACTTCAAAATCGTTATGTTTCACTTGAATGCGCTTTCTTTCTGTACTTCACGGATGCTTTTTCATATTTAAAAGACAGAAAAAAAAATTAATTGAAATTTTCACATATTGTCTCTGTTACGACTCGAACCCGGGCCTTCTGGAAGCTATAGCCAAATATTTAAATGTGCTTTCAAATCTTCAGCTTGAATTTTGTGCAAGCAGCAAGTCGACTGTCCGACTGTGCATTTAATTTCAACTACTTAAAAATGCATTTAGTTTAAACAACTTTAAAGTCAGTATTTTTCTTTTGAATACGCTTGCGTTCTACACTTCACAGATGCTTTTTCAAACTTCCAAGACACAAGTTGTTTCGTTGAGTAAAAAGAGTATCCAAAATTCGAAACATTTACTCAATGCATTTGTTTTAAAGTAGTCTTTCAATTTGTTGATTTAAAAATAAAATAAAATAAATAATATAAAAAAAACTTTTTAATATACAACGCTTTTATAAATGGACTAAAAAGTAGAAAATAATACTTCTCAGTCCCATAAAATTTGTTTTGATAACTTTTGATTTTGAAATTTTAGCAAAAGTTATTATAAACAATCTATGAAATTGAAAATGAAAAACGTGGGGCGCATGCAATACAAAGCATTCGATTTAATTGACAATAGTCAAACTACATAACGTAGACCTAAAATTTCTACAGCGAAAGTAGAACTTTGGAATCGATTTTAAGCGGTCGTTATTCATATACCCACATACATACATACATATATTAC